GTAAGGCACTTGTTACTAGTAGCTTCTTGTTACTACTAGTAAGGCACCTGTTACTACTGATTCTGCCCGAGTGTCTCCTGTTGACAGCAGCAAGAGCTGGATGAGCTGGAATAAGGCCATGCTTCGCAAGCGAGAGAGCATCGAAAAGACTTCGGAAATCAAAGGGACAGCGTGGCTGCAAAAAAGGCTTCTTGGGAGAGATGTCAATGAAACACTTGCTTCTTGAGATGATCTGTTATGTCCCATCCTTCATGAACTGGAAGCTTCAATGACAATGATTTACTTGCCTATCAGGTCTATCATCAAAATTCAGCTCGGTCTGAGCAGAATAGACTGCAGGTGTCCAGCATACCTATATCTTCCAGCATTAGTGTGTTTCCGTTTATGCACTGTACCAGCAAATTGGCCTGATTTTTGCACTCCGGGCTTCGTCGGATAGCATAAATCTAAGGCTGTGGCGATGATGTTGTGACACTTAATCGATCTTCACGGCTAAATCCAAGCAATCAGCTTAAGTAGCATTTCGTCTGCTCAGGAAAAAAATGCATAGTGTCATAGTTTGCCAATATGGAAACGTTTATATACTTTCAGCTGAAAGCTGCAAGTAGATGAAACAAATGTTCGCATAGGGATGCGAAGTCTTTTCACTTCACCCTGCGCACCAGGCTGCAATATTGGGCATACTCTTACCTCAGGGCAGGTGTCTTTCACTTGACAAGTCGTGACATCGCAGCCTCTTCTAAAAGAAGGACTAATACGCCGAGTGGTAAGGAGTCCTTAAGGAGTGCATCAAGGGCACTTTGGTCCTCTGGGCTACAGGATTAGAGCACTCTCACAAGCGATTAGAGGAGCCTATGCCAAGCTTAGGAGCTTGAAAAAATGAAAAAAAAACAACACAACATTAGAAAAGGAATAAACAATAGATAAACACCTTTAACTTACTATGTTTGTGTGTTTCTTGTGTCAGGTTTAGGAGCTTTATGGAGCTTGAAATCCCAAGCTGACCTCCACGCTTCCACCCCACTCTCGTGTCACATGTGCCATCAAGCAGCAAAAGTGCTCTTGGTTGGCCTCAACTGTGCTCTGCCAGAGAAGCTGGGACAAAATCCATGTTCTGGGCCCAACTAGATCCCAGTCAGACTGGTATCCTACATTGAAGTGTCAAGTCACATAGGGGGCTGCATTGCCACGCTTCCATTTGGCACCAGTAGAGTCGGTGCATCCATCCTGCTCTCAAAACACACACACTTTGAAAATGCTGGAAGGACATCGAAAATGTTGAGTTTCAGCTGCTCAGTCAAGGCCAATGCTCTCAGTTCTAGCAACTAGCAGCTAGCAGCTGCCTGCGGACAGTTGTAGTCTCCCCGGTGCTCCAGAGGACAATTGCACCTCAAGAAGAGGCATACGAAGCCTCTTCGAAGAAGAGTGTTCAGCTTTGCCAGTCTTGATTCTCATGTCAACATTCACAGCATCCACTGTATTGTTGATATGAGATATTCACACAAACACTCCTACTCGTTGTCATCTTCGTTTCTGGCTGCTCTCGTTGCCATGGATGCGCAACGATACTGCTGCAACTGCCGCGGCTGCGCACCGCAAGATGACGTGTCGATGAGCGGCACCGCCGGAACGCAGTTGCCACACGGCCAAGCGGGCGCCACGACACTTTGCCACCCGAAATAGGAGTAGCGTCCGATCACTCCTAGTAAGGCCAGGAGCCCCTAGTAGCGTCCTTGTTACTACTAGTAAGGCACTTGTTACTAGAAGCGATGCACTTGTTCCTAGTAGCATTCTTGTTCCTAGTAGCGATGCCAGTTTCGCCCCGAACGTAGCGTCCGATCGCTCCGTTCGTAGCGATGCCCTCAGTTCCGTTCGTAGCTTCTTGAGGCGAATGTTCACCAAGGCACGGGTTGCCCCAATAGGCCGGCACCTGACACGTTCGAAGGTGTGACGCCGGCCTATGGTCGTGAAGCGATCAGAGAAATGGTTCTCGGATGGACATGTTGAAAGGTCCGATCTTTTTCTTCTCCAACGAAAGAACTAGACCAATTGTGTGATTCGGACATGTTCCTTTGTCAACGAAGGGCCTTCAAAAGCTCTTTGGCCAAATAGAAAACGAAAATTATCCAACCTAATCTACTAGCGATGGTCTCCACCCTAAGAGCGATGGCCACCATTCAAAAGAACGAAAATGCAAAGAAAAACAAACGCCAACGGCTCTCGAGTCGCCGGATGATCACGCCAACAGCAAAAGCCCGTGGCAGTCTCCACAGGCGCAGGGGGAAGAGCTGGTCGATCACTCGGGCACCAGCCGGCCACGTCTAGATATTTCAGGCAGAAGTCCTCACGCAGAAGTCAAAAGAAGGTCAAGTCAGGGTGAGATATGTCATACATCGAGTTTGGGAGTGTAAGCATATGTAGGCCTTTTCTTGAAAAAGGCGCTGCTCCATGCAGTCAATGGCAACAATCCAGCCCTGCCTGTGAAACCGAAAACAAAACAGATCTGATGCCGTTTTCAGTGGTTCTCCGAATTGTCCGATCGAAGCGGAGAGACCTCACGGGAGACCTCATGGGACCGACATGGATCTCATGTCTTGATGGCCTCCAACCGCCCCTAGCGTCCGATCGCCCCGTTCGTAGCGATGCCCTTTGTTACTAGTAGCGTCCTTGCTCCTAGTAGTAAGGCCAGGAGCCCCCTAGTAGCGTCCTTGCTCCTAATAGCAATGGCCTCCAACCTACAAGAGCCATGGCCTCCGAGTCCCTCGGTCCTTGCCATTGGTTGGAGTGCCAGGCCCTCTCTGCCAAACATCAAGGCCCTGCCTGCAGCCTTCTGGTGGGCAAGGGAAATCTCCTCGATGTTCGTTGGGACATTCGCAAGGATCTCCGCCGTAGAAGGGTGAAGGATGATCCCTCCAGCAGCAGAAACCCGCCTCTGGCCTCTGAGCCAAGCTCGGTACTTCACCCAAACTTGGACGGGTCCTTGGGCGAAGGTAGCTAGAGGTAGCTAGTAGAAGCAAACGGTTCGCTACCTACGTAAGCTGCATATGGACGCAGGAGAGCTCATGCGATGTTGGTTCGATAGGGAAACTTAACTAAGGAAGAGACAGTTCCTAGTAGCTTCTTGTTACTACTAGTAAGGCACTTGTTACTACTAGCGATGCACTTGTTACTACTAGCTTTATTGCTCCTAGTAGCGATGCCAGGAGCTCCTAGTAGCTTCTTGTTACTAGGAGTAAGGCCAGGAGCCCCTAGTAGCGTCCTTGCTCCTAGTAGCTTCAAAGACATAGTAGCTTCTTGTTACTACAGGTGAAACGAGGTGAAACGATTCCCAGTGATGAAAAACAGACTTCTTCAAAACGCAAGAAGTGCGAAGTGCGATGTAAGGTGTAAAATCCTCCAAACCAAACTTGTAGCCTTAAGGTCCTACAAGTTCCTCGCAAAATTCATAGCACTCCTACAGAAAAAGCTTTCGCGGTGTTTGGCCTTTGCCTTTACTGACTCCCCGTGCGTTGTGGAAAGGCAAAGAAAAAGAAAGAATAGCTCTATTGCTCCTAGTAGCGATGCCCTTTGCTCCTAGTAGTAAGGCCAGGAGCCCCTAGTAGCGTCCCCCTGTGCACGAAGCTTCGGACTGTTTGGCTTCGCTTCAAACCCAAGTTTCATGGCTCGGGGGTCAAGCGAATCCAGCTGAATCTAGCTGCTCAGCTTGAACAATGTTCATGCAAAATGTGATCCTTCTAAGTAGCTACTAAGCTCAAAGCTTAAGTAACTACAAGACATGGCCTCCAACCTACTAGCGATGTTCATGAAAAGTGACATCAAAATCCTTCTCCGTGTTGATTGGATTCCTTGTCAGTGTTTTGCTTGACTATGATGCCCCTTTTTGATAAGGGTTCGTGCTTATGAAGTCTTGGCCTTGAACTTTGTTTGAGAAGAATGCAGTCAATTGTCCCGACGCTGAGGAAGATGAGCCCAAGGATAAGCAAGCTCAACGCACAGATTTGGTATGGCACAGGATTCTTCCCGATGCGATCACGCAGAGTTTCAGCTTCCTCCTCTGGCAGGATGCAACTTTAAGATGGCCGAAAGGAATGAACTTGGGTCCGGTACAAGTATCATCTCAAAAACAGTGATAAAATCATCCACTTGAATCCACTTAACAAAAGCATCAGTTCATAGCAATGCAACTTTCCTGTAGTGAAAGACAACTCAAATATGTAAGCTCATCCAGGAAATTTGGAGACAGGGTTCCCAGCCATTGCGACGAAACCCAGCTTCCATGCCATGATGTCAAAGTGTAAAGGACAAAAAGGACTCAAAATTAGACTTTAGAAAAGAAAATCAGACCCTCAGAAACATGAATTCAACATCATGCCTCATTACATCATGATTCACAAAAAGGACTGACATGTAAAGCATCTGTTGCATAATGTTGACATAGTATTAAGTAACCTCCCCTATCAATCAAGCCCAGCTCGAGCCCCCAATACTAAACTGATTTAAAACCTGACTTCCACATTTGCATAAAGATGTTCCTTGCCAAAAACCTCCCCCGTTGGTCAAGCCCAGCTGCCCCAGAAAAAAAAAAAACAACAATAGACTTATTTACGATTATAGTCATACGTATGTGTTATTTGATTTCTTTTTGGTCAGTATTCAATATCTTCTGGTCCACTGCTTCTCATCCTCCTTCTGCTTCATTCTCATCCATCATCATCATCATCATCATCACCCTTCTGCTTCTCATCCTGCTTTGTCTTCTCATCCTTCCCTGTTAAAAACCAAAAAACTCGCTAGCAAAATTGTGCAATTTTCCCTTCTTAAAACTCTGTCAAAATCTTAAGGTGTTCATGCTCACAAAGGGTACCCCTCACGCAGGCCCTACCACCCTCTAATAGTAGCGGCCCCTCCCCCTATTAATCAAGCCCCCCCCTCTGGCCTCCATCTTGTTTTCCAACTCTTTCATCCTGCAATCCTCTTTCTTTTCCTAATCATCCCAATCAAAGAAAGAATCTTGTCTTCCAATCTCTTTCATATCTTTCCTAATCATCCCAATCCCAATCTTTCCTAATCTTGTCATCATCTCATCATCCATCATCAGGTCATCACCTTTATTAAGGAGGTGTGGTCTCCAATACCTCCAATCGCAATCCTTGTCGACCTTGTTGACCTTGAAAGGGGGTGACTAATCCTGCGTCGACCATAGGAATTTCTTTTTCTCACATTGCTCTTAGGGTGGAGGCCATCGCTAGTAGGTTCCTTTCGCTATACGCTTAGAGGCCATCGCCTCTCACACCGTTCTCACCGGCAGAGTCATGCACCACGGACGTTCAGAGCTCCGTTTCGCTTCCCGTCCTGCTCCGGCTCTTCAGGTCTCTGTCCAACGCCGAGCCAAGTCCACATGGCGGTGCGTGGGCGCCAAGTTTCCTTTTGCTCTTCCCGTCTTTCCCGTTGTCCTTTCTTTTCCTTGTTCTTGTCTTCCTTTTCTTCACATCTCTTTTTCTAGACCTTCAGACTCTAGACTCTAGACCTGTCTTTTTCCCACCCTTTCTGCGTTCCTCCTTTTGTGCTTTACAGTGCAGCTTTCAGGCTTTTCAGGGCTTGGAGAGCATTGAGGAGCTTTCAGCAGGGATTTTCTCCAGCAAGCGGCTTGTTGTGGCTTCAATGAACCTCAACATGTTTGCCTACATCCGCGTCATCGCACACATGGAACTGTCAACATATCATGCCCCTCCACGATCCTCGATGTTTTCAAAGCCAAAGGCTGGCTTGGAAAGAAACTTGTGATCCATGGCTGGGTTTGTATGGCAGCTGTGGCTGTCTTCTGTCACGATTCCTCATCAGTTGTCTTGCTACAGATTCGTTTCTACTCGCTTCTACTTCTCCAGTTTGAGATGAAGTCGACAGAAAAGAGGCCGCTTCACCACAAAAAAATACTGCTGCAAATGTGCCAGGTCTGCAAATTCCAAGGATTGACAACGGACGTGTCAAACGAAGGACCCTTAGTGACCCGACGGAGTTTCACGAACTCTGAGCGGTCTGAGCAGACCATCGATGTGCATTCTGCATGATCGACGGCTCAACGCCCAAAGTTCTCTGTGCGACTTTGGGCTTTGTCTAATCTTGTCATTCACCATCTCACCACTGAGCAGGTCACAGGACGTCGGACTACGCAGTTTAGCGGCATTCCTTCTTCAGACGTCAAGAAACTCACAATGGCACTCCAAAGTCTCTTCTTCGTTCCTAATGTTTAGACAAAATCCTCTGAAAAACCTCTAGCTTGGAGGCCATCGTAGGTTGGCCCTGTTTGTATCCAAAAAATGAAAAAATAGTATAAAAAGTCTCACACCTGTTCCAAGTCGCAGTCCACACAGTCCATCGTGCGCTGTACAGTCTGGAAGACTTCAGCGGTGACTCGGTGACCCCAAAAGTCCTTCACTTGCGACTCAAGCAAGTTCTTGATGCTCTGTCTCCCTTGGAAAATCACGCTTTCCAGAGTTTTCACCCATGGCCAGGGCCATTTCGGGCCATGATAAGCCCATGGCCAGTCGAAGAGATTGTGCTTCAGTGTTCGAACACCCTGCGCAGTGCGCACAGAGCGCTTTGTAAGAAGAAGAAGAAAAATACAGACTCTCATCATCTTTCTTACCATTCTCGCGTGAATTCTTGCATCCATTCGAACCCTCCACCCATCTAAACCCGCACCTCGAAGAACAAGACCATCGCAATGCCGAAGCTCGCAGTGGCATCAACGACTCAGGTGAAGCCATTGTGAGGTGAAGTCCGTCTCATGTTGTATCTCTTCGTGACTTTTTCATCACATCCTCTAAGCTTGGGTCCAGCAACTGCCTCAGGCGCAAGAAAGGCGAAGGAAACGGGAACCACAAGTGAGCCAGAGCCATTGTGAACGAATTCACCAAGGCTGTGACTTTGGGATTGCCGTCCACCACCTGCCAAACAAAGCGAAGCAAAGTCTGCGGCTAGCAGCTAGTAGCTAGTAGCAGCTACCCAGGACTTCAAGTGCTAAGGGACTTGAGAACCGTTCCCGGTTTGGTAACAGAACAGTTCAATCCAAAAACATCCCGTGGAATCAAAAAAAAAGAAACGTGGTGACGGAATCGAGACTTCGTGGACTTCGTGCCTCGGTTTTGGACCCAATCTTCCTCGAGAGTGTGCCCCTTTGTTCCTAGTAGCGTCCTTGTTCCAAGTAGTACGGCCAGGAGCCCCTGGTAGCTTCTTGTTCCTAGTAGCGATGCCCTTTGCTCCTAGTAGCGAACCTTGTTCCTAGCTCCCTATTACATTTTGACAAGGCCGACAGTGACATTCTCCACAGCAGAAGGAAGACAGTGACGAAAAGGGTCTAAAGGTGCGAAAAGAAAAAGAAAACTCCCCGACGGAGCCTCCTCTAGCACGGCTGCAAGTGCACAAATCAAAGCCAGCAAGGCACCTAACCTCAGAAAAGAACAGATTGCTTTGAGTGATGACCCACCAGGCAAAACTGCCGGACCTACACTGCTTGCCTTTCTGCACATGTGTTCTTTTCTTATTGTGGACGGAGAGCTAGGCCGCATGTTCTAGCACCATTATATGACTATCATCATTTTGCCAAAGTTTTCAGGTGTTCATGTTGAACCCTCCAATCTGCTGGCTGTGTGGCCATCTCATCGCACAATCAAAAAGCAGCTGGTGTAACTAGAACAAAAGGCAAAGGAGCTCGTGGGCAACAAAAGAAGCCAGCGTCCGTGCACAATACATGTTTCTACGAAGAATGCTTTCGTGACTACGTCACCCCCCTCAATGCACAACTCGTCTTAGGTAAATGTCGGGAATGGAGCTGTTACTTGCAAACCATCACGAGCTGTCTACGCCAACCTCAGTCTGTGCAGCCGACCCCAAAAGTTCCCTGTCGTCTGTCCCTTTTTTGTTCTGTTCTTTTTGATTTCGAATAACAAACATTGCTCCGTTCGTAGCGATGCCAGGAGCCCCGTTCGTAGCGTCCGATCGCTCCTTGTTTCGGAGTTTCTGTCCTGTTTGCTTCTTTCAATTAGACCTTTAGACCCCGTGTTGCTCCTTCCGAGCGCCCGTACACCGAGCACAAGGCGTCCTTCCGGAGCACCTCGCTACCCAGTTGCTTCGACAAGCGGAACTTCCAGACCTCCGTTTCAACGGGACGCACTTTGTTCCGTCTTTTTTGGGAAATGCAAAAAACGAACGAAAAATAAGATAAATAACTTGTTTTAAACGTCTTAGAAAAAGAAACAGAAGAACTGTTCGCAGTTTGCAGCAAGAACTGTTCGCAGTTCACACAACTCTCTGTCCCTTTTTTTGATCAAAAAGAGCCCAAGAATGGGATAGGCAGAGCTGGGCCAGGCACGGCCAGGAGACCAAAAATGACCTTGCCAAGGCAATCACGCAGAGCAACATCACAACTGTCCAGGTGAATCTGGCGAAAACAGCGAAAATTGCCAGGAAAAACAGCAAAACTCAAAACAAAACAAGCAGTTTCTTTGGAGCTTGGGGCGCTGGCAGCAGATGGCCATGCCAACAAAGACGTGTAAAGGGCTCCTGAACGTTCCTGTCACACATGAACCGGAACGTTCTTGCTCCTAGCGATGTCCTTTGTTCCTAGTAGCTTCTTGTTCCTAGTAGTAAGGCACTTGTTACTAGAAGCGATGCACTTGTTACTAGAAGCGAACATTGTTACTACGTTCGTAAGGCACTTGTTCCATGCTTTTCTTCAAGCCATGCTGGGCCCTTGGAGACGAACCTGAACACACTTGTCGAGAAGCTATATTTCTGTTCAGGTGTTGGAGGTGTTGGAGGTGTTGGAGGTGTTGGAGGTGAGTCCTCCGTGCAATTGACAGAAACCATTCAATTAAAACATCTCACATACTTGATAATCTTGATCGATCTTGATAGTCTGTAGAGTACGCTTCTAGGTTGGAGGCCATCGCTAGTAGGTTGGAGGTCGTCTCACATACTTGATAGTCTCTACACTCTACGCTATTTAGCCACTCACTGACTCACTGGTACTGTTTGATGTCTCGCCTCCTGCACGTGTTCGGGGGTGGCCGGATCCCAGCCAAAGAGCTTCCAGACCTCGGAACGCCCAAAAGCACCTTTTCGGATGCGTCGGATCACGACCAGTAACAAGTGCCTTACGACCAGTAACAAGGACGCTACTAAGGGCTCCTGGCATCGCTACCAGGAGCAAGGACGCTACTAGGGGCACAGGGCATTACTACTAGTGAACACTTGTTCCTAGTGGCGATGGCCCTAGCAGCGTCCTTGTTGCTAGTAGTAATGCGCTTGCTAGTTTCGGATGTGGACCGCAAAACGCTTCGAAGCGATGTCAACTTCACAGATGTTTGCGGAGCGCACGAAGCACGGATTTTCCCCTTATCTGCCGATAGCCTTGAAAGCTTCCTCTGGCACTGGCCCATCACCAGTCACCACAATGTCAAACTTCTGCTGAAACCTAGCAAGAGATATTGCTCTTGAGCACACAAAACAATCCTTTTGGCTAAATTAGGCAAGGTGCTCGGGCATGCGTTGTTCCACCTTCTCGTTGAGAAAGCCGACCTGCCAAACAATGGAACTCCATATAAACCTGCCACCAAAAGGAACGGGAATGATATTTAAGTGTCTTTTCGCTGTGACCTCTTGTATCCTCTGATCGTTTATCAGGCACTTGTCGTCAAGCGGGTCCTCTTGTATCTCTGTCGCATCTGGTCACGTCCATCGTCCATCTTCGTCCATCAGGTCCCAAATCGACTCGACATAACTCTCATCCCAGTGACTTCCTTGCTCCGTTCGTAGCGATGCCCTTTGTTCCGTTCGTAGCTTCTTGTTCCTAGTAGTAGGGCCAGGAGCCCCTAGTAGCGTCCTTGCTCCAAGTGACTTTTAACGTCTCCACATCAAGGCCATCTGCCATGGTAGCATCGCCAACTCCGTCGCCCATCAGTAGGCACAGCTGCTTCCCCTCTGTGAGCTTCTTCGTCACCTCCGCTCAATACTGCTTGCACACGCCTTCGCTTCCAAAGCCAAACAAAAAACCTTCAAGTGAGGAAGAAAAGAATGAAGGAACCCTCGAAAAGTGAAAGAACTGCCATTTACACAAATGACTCGGAGGACGCGTGTGTCAAACACTGAAAACAGTCTCCATCGATTTCTGTCTGACGGTTCTTATAAATACATATAATTACATATAGACAATAAATGTGTATATTACATTTCTGACGGTATTATATATATGATCAGCTATATAAATGTGTATATAACTACATATAGAAATAGCCTCCCCCTCATAGCGATGGCCGACCTAGAAGCGGCCTTCAAACAAAAGCATCGTCTCCTTCCCCGGTGTGATCGAAACACGATGCACCTCAGGGAAGAAGGCTGCGGTCTTGTTGAACCTCATATCGATGCACCGATGCCGCTGGAGACGGAGTCAATCCAAGATGGAGACGGTTTAGAAAATTGACAGTTGCAAACATATTCTACGGCATTATGCTTTACTGCTTTACTGTTGATTCATTCTTGGTGTACTTCAAGTCCATGAAAGGAAAGCTGCAGACATGGAACATATGAAGCAACGGCTCAGAGAAGTTCACCAAACGGCCAGTCTCATCGAAGACCATCCTCGAAAGCAATGGAACGACCGGCACGTGGACGTCATGGGACGTCGGGGAAACATCTCAGCCCGCTCGCTCTTCCCACCCTCTCCCTATTTTAATTAAGGAGACTACTTGTTTCTAATAGCTTCTTGTTACTACTAGTAAGGCACTTGTTACTAGAAGCGATGCACTTGTTACTAATAGCTTCTTGTTACCAATAGCTTCTTACTTAAGGAGACTACCGACACTTCATTAAGGAATTGAGGTAGCTACTAGCTGCAAGTACTACCGACAGGACGCAGGATAGTTCGCGCTTCTGCAAGGAAGCTCCGGCTTGTTACTAGTAGCGATGCCCTTGCTACTAGTAGCTTCTAGCTACTATCTCAGCTTTGGTCCAAAGCTCAATATGTCGTGGAGTCCCTCAAAACCTAGCTGGCCAAAAGGTTGCAAAGCTGCTCTCCCCTGGCATGTTGAACGTCAGATCAGACAATTTTGCTCGCGACCGACGAAGACTGAAGTTCGACTGAAGAACACCCAAACCCCACTGGCCTGTTGGACACCACATGGGTGCTCTCCTGCAGTGGAAAAGGAAGCGCTTGTCGTAGGAACTCCTCAATGACATCACCCAAACCAGCAGACATGATAATCCTTGGTCACGTCTGATCGGGCGTTCGATCATTCTGATCTGATCGGGCTAGCGGCTACAGAATCTCATTCAATAATCCTTGGTGTATCCAAACGGTTCCACAAACAATAAGCTACCAGGAACAAGTGCATCGCTTCTAGGAGCAAGGGCCTTACTAGTAGTAACAAGAAGCTATTAGAAACAATAAATATAAACTTCTTGTTACTACTAGTAAGGCACTTGTTACTAGAAGCGATGCACTTGTTACTAATAGCGAACATTGTTACTACCGTGAGGAAATGGATGTGACTTCCGAGTCCCTCGACTGCCACGAAGGATCCTACGTTCGCTTTGCCAAAGTTCGATACGCATTTAAGTCGATAAGCTCTGACAGTCAAAATGGACAGGGTTCTGTACCCTTACCCTTCTGAGTTCTTCTGTTGCAAACCCATTTAGAAAGCCAGACCTTAGGTGTATTCTCAGGCCTTCCATTCGGCCATGAGCAGAGGTATGTTTAAGCGCTCTTAGTAGGTGAATGTGCCCCTAGTAGCGTCCTTGCTCCTAGCAGTAAGGCCAGGAGCCCCTAGTAGCGTTAGTAGCGATGCCAGGAGCCCCTAGTAGCGTCCTTGGTGAATGTATCTGTCTAAAATCTGTCGTTCCACGCAGCGAATGCTGACGACTTTTCTTGGAAAGCTTGAATGGGCATCGTGTATCATCCTATTGCATGTCTGTCCATTCTTTTGGGGCTTTGTTTTGTTCTAAGGCTCACGGGTATCACCGGATCGTGTGTCTGACAGGCTCTCAAGAAGTCCACCATGCCATCTCGCACTTGGATAGTCTTGCAGCTTGAGACTGCGCTGGCGATGTTGTCTTTGGTCACCTACGATGGTGCTCTTCTCCCCGAGATCGAAAAAGACAGGGATGAAACACTGATTATCAGAAATGTTGTATGTATCTCCGACATGTGCGCTGTGCAACATCCTGTTTGTAAATCAGGGACAAATCACATGCCAGGCACATATTCCTTCAGGATCAGCTCGTGTACTTGGCCATACCACTCGTGCATAATTGGCACCTGGCGTGCAAAAGGAGTTGGAGATGGAGGCCATCGCTAGTAGGGTGGAGGCCATCGCTCTTAGGGTGGAGTGGAGGCCATCGCTTCTAAGTTTCTGCAAAAATCTTCTAAAGCATTTTGCTTCGGTATTTTCCACTCGTGTCCCACTGTTCAGGGAGAGTCCATGGAGACCAAAATCGACTGAGCCAAGCTTGTTTGCCTTCGTCTCGATTGGCCTCAGAGGTCTCAACGTATCAAAAATCAAAGAAAACAAAGATTAAAGGTAAAAAGTGTCGAATACTTTCAAGCAGCTGTGTGCTTCAAGAGTGCTTAGATTCAGGCATGGCTTCATCAATTTCGATTGGATAGTACTTTCCTTAGGGGTCAACTGGGAGGCTTTCCTCCTTTGATCACCAAAAGATCTTGGATGTTCTGCAAAGGACTAAGGACTTTGAGCAAAGCTACTGAAGAGCTCTTGAGCTCGGGATTTGAAGGCTTCCGACAAAACGCTGGCCACTTCAAGAATGCCATGAGCGGAAGTGACCCGCTGCCCGTCAGGCATGAAGTTGCCTCACGTTGTTGACGCCAAGAAGCTCGGGCGCTAAAGGATAAACCCAATAGCGATCAACCTAATTCCGATGGCCTCCAACCTAGAAGGATAGAAATAATGCTAAAAAGGTCTCCCCATATTCTGAGACACTAACTGGTCAGCGTCCTGTCAAAGTCGAGAATAACCTTGGACAGGTATTGCAAGAACTGTTGTTGATCGAGAAACACTGAAGATCGCACACATATCACATCTGTGACATGTCAAAAGGTGCTGACTTGAAACCAACTCCTCACTAGTTCAACAAACAAAATACAACAAAGAAAAAAAACAGCTGGACTTGTCACACACTTAAACGTTCTGCCTGCAACAATGTGCCAGCAAAGCCCGTCGCAGTCCCCTTTTAGCCGACGCCCCTCCTGCTTTGTCCACGCACTTCGGGGCTTGCGCCCTTCGGCAAGCGACCAGAATAGAGATTCTCCACGATGAGCAGTCGAAGTGAAGCTTCAAGGCAGGAGCACATCACGAGCATTTACACTCGTGAATACTAATGTGGGTACTAATGAGCTTTGACTTGGCAAGGAAAATGCGAGCGCGCCACTGACTGTCCTTGATCGAATAACGTTTGCCACTACCACTCCACTCCATCTCAGCGAACTGAATACTGTGTCCATCGGAAGAAATAGTTTGGGGATATGTTGGAAAGGACATGTGGCAGGGCACTCTCAAGTCTCACCCTAAATGGAACAGTGGCTCTTTGACCTGTGCAAGCAATGGCCCCTCATAATCGGCTACTGTATTGCAATACAGTGCCTTGAAACCGAATTCATCGGAGCCTTCAAAAGTCAAGAACAACTTTGCTACAATGGTGCAAGGAACTTTCCGGAAAGTGCCTGGCCTGCACTATCCACATCATCATACATCACTCACATCTCGCGATGCACATCTTTTTTGCGGCCAACAAACATTCCCTGAATGATCTTTCCTTCACGAGCAAGTTTGGCCATAAACTCAAAATCGGAGATCAACTTGTCATAAGCTTCATCATCCCAACCCAGCAACTTCTTCGTATCGTACACTGCTTGCAACTTCAGCATGTGCACATAGCTGTCCATGGCAGGTGAGAAGCGGCCACTGTTCTCAGCAACTTCAACCTCAAAGTGTGCCTTCTCCAGCATCTGCGCATACTCCTTCACCGTCGGGATGGCAGGGAATGTCATAAGGCTCAAGAATCTCTGCGCTTCCGGATTGGAGAGTCCCTCACCCTCGATCCAGTCCGTAAACATGACTTTTCCTCCGGGCTTCACGATGCGAGCAGCTTGATCAATGATGAGCTGTTTGTCAGGCATGTAGCACCAAGCATCCTTGCTGTACACAAAATCGGCGGAAGCATCCTAGGTGAAGCTGCAGTGCTCAATCTTTGCATCTACAAACCAGAACACGAGAGATCCGGCTTTGTGAAACTGTGTAGAAATATGAGGCAGTCTGAGGCAGTGTGTATGCCATCACCAACCCATGTAATGGCAAAGATTGTAAGTAGATGTATCTAGTACTATGGAGTTGTTGGCTAAGAAAGCCGCAAAGCTACAATGCTTGAAGGTCACACAGTACAACACAAGCCAAGAATCAGGGAGTCCATTCTCCAAGGAGTTCTTGTTGATGAACTTGATCTTGTCACTCAGCCCCTCTTCCTCTGTCCTCTTCTTGCCAGTCTCTACCACTGACTTAGTCAGATCCACTCCAATCATGGAGTCGACTCCAGCCAAGCGAACAAGGGTGCGCATTCCTCCACCATTGTTGCAATTCAGCTCAACTCCATTCATCCCTGGTCCGACACCAGCCTTCTTAGCCAGCTCCAAGGTGGAAGATGCAGCACCGATGTCAATCTGTTTTCCCATAACCAGCTCCCACACGCTCTGTTCTGGACCACTGTAGCATCGAGCGACTGCGTCCGCATCCGCTGCATCTTGGTCATCCAGGGTCTTCAAGGCATGGGAACTGCACCACAGTGACAACAGCGCCGACCAAACGGCAATCTGCACAAACACCATGGCGAAGACGGGAACAGATGCGTCAAAGCGCCACAGCACGAGATAGAGGCAAAGCAAGCTTTTT